GTCCCTTTGTGCATCAGCGTGTGTGACTGTCTGGCTGTGTAGAGTTGTGGAGGGATGTGTGTGTGTGTGTGTGTGTGTGACCTACTGCAGGATACAAAGTCCTGCAACAGCATTTCCTAGCAGTTAGCCCAGCAACACACTAACACTGATACAAACACAGTGTCTCTCTCTCTCACGCACACACACAGAGCAGGGCTCAGCCCGTCCAGCAGGGGGCGACAGGGACACACACATCTCCCTAGGGCCAGCTTGGATGATGATGATGAGGGGAGTGGGATCTAGTGGTCAGAGTGGGGTGGGAGCTGGGCACTGGTTACTATCCCTGGCTCTGGGAGCAGAGGGGGGCTAGAGGTTAGAGCAGGGGGACTGGGAGCCAGGACTCCTGGGTTCCATAGTGGCAGGTGTTTTTTCTTGTGTCTCCCTCCGTAGAGATCCCAGCCCAGCCCACTAGAGCAACGTGGGAGCGGGGTTTCAGGGAAGGCGTGAGGGCGGGGACGAGGAGGGAAGGGCAGTGTGAGGGCGGGGCATCGGGGAAGGGGCGATGTGGGGACGGGGATTAGGGGGAATGGGCGGAGGGAGGGCGGGGCCTGCAGGTGAAGGCGAAGCGTGAGGGAGGGGGCTCGGAGGAAGGGGGGCGGCCACGTTCCGGCGCTGGTGCCCCCCCCACTTTTAGGAACCGGACATTCCCTCGCCCCTGCACACCCCCCGCCCCCAGAAAACTCCCCTTGATCCACAGCCCAGCTCTCGCTGCCCGGCTCCCTGCGCTGAGCGCAGCAGCGGGGGGAGCGCAGGGCAGGGACGGGGCGGGCCGGGGGCTGGAGCAGTGGCGGAGGGACGCGCCCCGACGGGCTGGTTCCGAGAGCGGGGCTCCGGCAACACGTGGCGCACAGCGTCTGTTGCAGGCAGGGAGAGTAGCAGACACCGAGGGAAGGCGTCACACGTCAGTGGGCGGGGTTATGCAGATCAGCAATGTCTGGCGGCAACACAGAGCAGCCGGCTGAGCCCAAGGAAGCGGGCGGAGAGAATTCTCTGTGTGGGAGCAGAATTCGGAGTGGAGAGTTGGTGCTTTGAGTCAGTGTATCGGAGTCACTTCGGGGCAGCGATTGCCACTTAGCTAGGAAGGTATGAAAGTAGGTCCTGTGACATAGAAAGCACTGGGAGCGCGAGGGGAGCGCGCTGTTCCGAGAAAAGGTATCGCTTCTCGGCTCTCTATGAGCTGTGGTCCAAGTGTAGTGTCTGTTCTTATCAGTTTAATCTTTATTAATTGAACATGATAAGCCACTACCTAGATCTATATCAGTTTAATCTT